TTTCTTAATTAATTAATTTTCCCCGCTGTCCCTCCATCTTAGCTTGGCAGGATACAACACGATTCATGAACTGGTTATTAAGTTCTGACAACATAAATGATGCGATTACTAAAGTGACGGAAACAGGAAGTAACAAACAAGGAATTGAATTGCTCTGAGAAGATAATGCAGCTCCTGGGGTCTTATCATGTCTTTAATATTGAGGAAATGCCTTCAATGTCAGGATGATCATCTAGGCCCCAATAAAATCTAGTTAACCAATCATCCTTAGATCAGGAGAACCCTGGGCTACGTATTGTTACAGCTCACTTTACAGTCCCTCCCGATATAGAGAGAGGAAAAGGAGAGAAAGAGAGAGAGAGGCTGAAAGACAAAGAAGCCGACAATGGAAGCATGAAACAAGACATAGCGGCTGCCAACTGGAAGGTAAGAGAGCCCTCAATGGTCCAGTTGAGTTTGGAAGCTGTGGTCCTATGCCTACAGCTCTATAACAACATGGACCAAGATGTAACCAATCAACTGTCTTCATTTTCTTTTCTTTTCCATTTTTTTTAATTTTTTTCCCACCAAATGCTCTAAAACCTTTTATCAGAACCATATGAAATATATAATTAAGCAGTCGATAACACTAAATAGTAAATAACAAATATAAAAACATTGCATAGCTGTTCCACCTTTTCGGTTTCTTGAAATATATTCCCCATCTCCACACCAATTCTATATGGTCCAAGCTCATTAGGTGCTAGAGCTACCGTGTCAAGAATTCTTTTATGGTTAATCTGGAATGGAGACCGGAGAGATGGGCTTGTCAAAAGATCCATCCCAATAAAACCATATATATTCGTCTGGTTTATCACTATCATTTTCCTGTAATAATGGCCAAGAGAGACTGGGGGTCATTGGCGACCCTATTTCTCCATGAGCACAACCTAAAAACCCACGTAGCCTATAGGGGTTAGGGCTCCTGGGGGAGACAGCAAAAGGGATGCAAATGAATGTCCTGCTAAGCTTAAAGAAGGCCTGAACCTTTATCAAAGCCAAACATCTCGATGTTAACAAAGGGCTAATAATTTCAATCGGTTAAACATCATATTCTGCTCTCCAAATCCTTGATACATTTATTTGATTCATGGATGTTTGCTAGGCTAGCTAACTAGCCACTGTTTCACGCAACAGTCTTTGCGATTTCATCTCTCATCTTCTTCTTTCCGATATTCATAGTTCAGTTCAACTTTGAATAAAATTCTAGACAACATTTGTACTCTTGGGTCCATATGGCTTTTCAATTCCTACCTATTTTTTCAAGATCATTAACGCGGTCACCCAGTTCTTCCCTTATCTCTCGGAAAGAACAGCTATATATTGTTAGATTGGAATTAAAGTCCAAGAATATCTAATAAATTGTTCAAAAGGCGTGGACTGGAGGTTGACGGAAAGTTCCTATCTTTAGCTCGGAAATCTAAGGCGCGACGTTAATGGATTTGATTAGAATAGAAATAGGAAAATTTTGTGTTAATTTTAATGTGAAATAGCATGTGTGATTCTCATTTTGATAATTTGTTCAGATTGAAATGTCGACTATTTTTGTTTCCACTCTTGCATATATTTTAATTTTAACTCAAAATCAAAAGAAAATGATCACGTGTCTTGATAATATATGTTGGTAGCTCACATGTTTGCTCATACTATAATGTAAATATATTACTATAAATAATTCTACACAGAAACAATGAAATTATTCTCATAAATTTGTGTCTTTCATGCTATTAGACATTAACCTAACAATTTGATTTTGAATCCTAAAATTAAACTTCTATATTATTAAAAAAAGTTAAGAACATAAGTATCAGATGGCCTATATTAATGGGGTAGGAAAACTATTGGTTTGATTTGAACCAGAACCATTAGTTTTGTGTGCCATCCTGCGATTTAAAAATTTGGTTGAATTATGGTCTAACTAGACGGGTTCACACAACTTTCATTAGAAATTAATGAAAATCTTTGATAATTAGAATATATTAAAGGTTTGATTAGTGGCTATTGCGGACTTGGTTTGGCAGGTAGTACGTTGTTGGCTTAATCTTTGCATTTTGCAACTGATCATCATCATCATCATCATCATCTTTGATTCTTCCATGACAAATGCTGTTACCCAAATTCACATATTGTCCCACCACGCCATCCATTCCCCACCCCCACAAATCGTTTGAATACTTTTATATTAAAGACAGAAGGACAGTGAGGCAAGGGAGGGAGATATACCATAGATTGTGTTGCGGCTCAGCTGGATGTACATGCTATTCTTGATATATTTCACATGGCTGCGAAACTTAAATAAAGACAATAGGAGAAACACAAAAAGTTAACTTCAAGGAATTCCGTTTTGAAGTACATCATCATCACATGCTACATCAAAGACATACATATACCTAATCACAAATTAACATCCAGTTTTTTCTTCTTTTTTTTTTTTTCATTAGTCCAAAGGTAATAAAATATGTTAATGCATGCTCTGAGGCTAAAGGGTTAACATTAATTAGGGCACATGCTAGCTGATTTTGAGAGATTCTGACATCAAATGAACATAAATTTTGGATTACTTGTCGAGTTTTTTCTTCCATTCCTCATTCTGATTAGTTTAAGAAGAGATAAAGAACAAAAATTGGTCAATATGACGGAATAGAATAACACAAGAAGTAAAGCTAATTAAACTTTAGCTTTAAGTAGTGTGGGTTTAATATATATATATATATATATATAGCAAGTTGCCAAAGACAATATTGTCGTTATTGTAAGTAGTAGTAACTTCAGAAGGATGCTTAATGAGATAGGCACGCAACAGAGGTTTATAGTTCTAGGAAGTTGGTGCATATGCCTAGCTAGTTACAATTAAACAGCCCCAAAATCCTCAATAGTTGTGTCATAATCATAAATTCAACATGGTTACCTTGGGAAAAGCTTCGTTTTGAGGGAACGTGTAAAATTATGGTAGGAGGAAGGAGCATGGTTGGATGGCTCAAAAAACACAGTGGGGGGCGTTTTGGAATCCGAGAGAGGGGGTTGCAAGTTGGGGAGGGGGGAAGAAAATAGGGGGAGGCAATCTGGCCCCATTTTGATAAAAAGTCAAAGAGAAATTCTATATAGAAAAATTAGTCAATCATAACAACTGATTCCAGCGTTGATTTGTTTAATCTTAAACGTCACTGTAATCAGGTTAGGTGACGAAAGCATACCCTTGAACCAATGAAAACCTTACTCCAATATTAAATATAATAAACAATTAAGTAATGTAATACTAAAATTTAGGAAATTGGGTCTTACACCATGGATTTTACATTTATGAAACCATGTGGCAGGGTGAGCCAACCACAAGACAGACAGTGTTTAGTATTACAAGATTCAATATATTTTTATTTATTATTTCCACCCTATTTATCTATCTATTCAATTTTTAATGCTTATATTATGGCAGTAATTAATAGTAAAATTAAAATTAATGTATCAAAATTATCATAGAATTAGGAGTTTTAGACAGTAGATTTCCGGGAAACTGAAGGGTGGAGACGTAAGAAATGAAGCGAGGAATATCTCTATCTGCGCAATTTGAGTAGGTGATCTTCATCAATTAGCGGCTTGTGAGTTGGGGTTCCCTAATTGGCTACGCGCTGGACTGGCCCCAACCCGTTATTCTTTACAATTGGAGCAGCAATTGTCTCTCTCCTTTTTCTTTTTAATTTCTGAACAAATTGTGACTTTAAAATGATTGGACCGTAGTAGGTCTCATTATTACAATTTTATATGATCTAATAAATATCTGAACCTTATAAATATAATATAATAATGCTACTGTTCCATTGCCCATACTTCTTCCAACATGAGGTGTACCGTCATTTCTTAAGTAACACTTATAATTCTGGTAAACAATTTTGAAAAAGCAATAATTAGTAGTACTTTTTAATAAAATATAACGGATAAGAGGATGAATTAAGAGCAGTGGCATTTTTTTATTTTATAAATAAATTAAGAGCAGAAAAGGGGATGAATTTTGCTGACATTATGTGTGGAGGATGCAAAGAAGAAGCAGGGAAACGTGGGTGCTGGACCAGCGATGGACTGTGACCAGGTTGGGCTAATTCAGGGGTCCAAAATTAAAGCCGCATCATCCAAAATATGAGCAGAAAAATTGCGACGCATAATGACAAAAGTTAAAAAGGATTACTTTTGAGGTTTAGAGAGATTGGTTAGACTTAGACCTAGGTTTGGGTTGAAGAGGCGAAGCAAATTAATTGCGAACAAAATAGAAAAAGCATGGCAAATAGATGGGTCCATTTGGGACTTGCATGTGCTGCATTCCCATGGGAAAAAAAAAAGACACCAATTTTCCTTCTCTTGTTTTTCCTTTATATTTGTAACTTGCCTTTGAGAGACCGAAGATATCCTTTTCCATCTGGTTGGCCACCACGGCAGAGTGCCCCGTAAGGATCAAATTGAAAGGCTTTTCAAGTCAAAACCCTAACCCCTGTTCCGGTTAGATAATATTTACACCGCTTTTTTCTTTTATGCCCTTGAAAAAAGAAGTTAGTCAGCTCCTTATTTTATTTTGTGGGTTATTTTTTTTTATAAAAAATCATGATATGAAAATATAAAAATTATTGGTGTTGAAATAATCAATCTAAATTTAATACTTATAGAACATTATTTTTTTTAAAATTCTTTTTTTTGAGTTTGTTTAATTAGAAAGCAAATTTACTACTACTAGTAATAATAATAATAATTAGGGTTATTAATCACGATTTTTTACAGCAAAAGTCCAAAAAAGAACCAAGAAGGAGATAAACGTGGCCAGTTACAAAATTAAGACAGAAATGGAACTAGAATAAATATTGGTGTTTTGTTACAGTAAAAATTAACAAAATCTGAAAAATAAAGATAGCATAGAATTAATAATGTTAGAATATATAACAAGGTCGTGTCGTGCTCTAAAAAACAGCTGGCTTATAGTAGTTTATATTTCCTACAAAAATACTAAAAAAAATGCATAGCACCCAGGATGATGACAGTGACAAGTTCACATGAGCCCAACCAGATAATACATGGGGTCCCTACTATAAACTTAATATTCTCAACTCTCAACAAAGAAAGATAGAAGCTAGGCTAAGAGAAATTGAAGAGAGAATTTATTCAAGGAAAAAGGAAAAGGAAAAGAAATAAACTGCTATTGTCGCACAGGAGAAGGTTCGAGGGAGGCGCTCTCCTGGAAATAAAATCACACCAAATAAACCTCTTTTTCTTTCTCTTTCATTCTCTTCTTTCAAGGTCAACAACTAGATGAAGTTGCATTGTATTTCCTTGAAACGTCCATGATGGGCGGGTTTATTGTTGTCCAATTCTAGTTTTCGTGTTTGGGTCTTGCTGGTCAAAAGAACAAAGCACCGACTTTCTGATTGTACTGAGATGGTGAGAGATAGCTTAAGCTAACCCCCTTCCTGCTTCTCCTGGTACTCCCCTAGCTCCCAATAGTCTTCAACCCTAGCAAAACCAAGAAAAGTATAACAAGTAAAAACATGGCACAGTTTCTTGTGCTTTTCGTTTGTCTGTTTGTTTGTTTTTTTTAATTTCAACTAGCCCAACTAGTCCCCACTTTTCTTCCTTTCTTGTTAGGTTTGTCTGGTTGATTTTTCTTCCTCATCTCTATCGTTTAGATCCCCCACGAAAAGTCACAATTGGTGCTAAAGAAACCATGGATTTTGTGTCCTCAGGCAGGGAAGGGTTTAGTGAAGAAGAACAGATGGGTAAAGGTAAGCTCCCTTTTCAATACTCTTCCTCTTCTTCTCCTTCACCTTCTTCTCAACACAAAACCCTGCTGCCTCCTCTTAGCAACTCTCGACGGGAGCAGCAGCCTCATCAGATTTACGACAGCCACCACCAAATGAGTTCCAACTGGTTAGGCAACAGGTATGGACCTGAAGAAGATAACGAACCAACTGCCACAGCAACTGCAAGTGAAGCTGATTCCAAACGCGTAGACTCAGATTCAACCCTTGAACTCAGGAGTAGTGCAAGTGCCAACATCGAGAAAGAACACATGTTCAACAAAGTAGTCACTCCAAGCGATGTGGGGAAACTCAATCGACTTGTTATTCCAAAACAACACGCTGAGAAGTATTTCCCGTTGGATTCTTCCATGAACGAGAAAGGTCTTCTGTTGAATTTCGAGGACAGAAATGGGAAGCCGTGGAGATTCAGGTACTCTTATTGGAATAGCAGCCAAAGCTATGTTATGACCAAAGGCTGGAGCCGTTTTGTCAAGGATAAGAAACTTGATGCTGGCGATATTGTTTCTTTCCAAAGAGGAGTAGGTCAGTTGGGTAAAGATCGTCTTTTTATTGATTGGAGGCGGAGACCTGATGCACCAGACCCGGTTTCTTTTCATCCACATCAACACCACTTGTCTTTGCACCGCTCAATCCCATGGAATCCAATGCTTATGCTGCCACCAAAAACAGGAAGAGATCACTTGCACTTGTCCCAGATAAACCCTCTAAACAGAAATAGCTACTACGGTAGTTATCCAACTGGAAGCAATGTGGTGAATCCAGGAAGTACAATGGGATCAGTATTTTATTTTAGATCAGCAGTGGCTGCAGCAGCCCCTAACATGGGAACGGGAATGATGGAATGGCAACAGCAAGGTGGAGTTGTAGAGCCAATTGTGTTTGATTCGGTGCCGGTGGTCCAAGGCAAGGCTGCAGTCAAGAGGTTAAGGCTTTTCGGGGTGAACATGGAATGTCCCATAACGGAGTCGGTTGATTGTGAGATGTTATCTACAACTACCATAGCAAATGCTACAATGGCATCGCAGCCTCCTCAAATTTCTTCATCGTCCCAGTATCCTCTCCAATTAAGGCTCTACAATGGCACCCCACTGCCCCCCACTGACTTTCTTAATGCCAACAAAGGGAAGGCTTCCATGTCCTTGGATTTGGATATGTGACCATAAGAAATTGATTTGGCTTACAGTATATTCAACGACCAAATTAATTACCTTTGCCACAATCGACAGTGCCTGCCACCACCGTCGCCACCATCAAACAACAACAATATGCGTGAAGATAAGGCTAGAAGAAGAGCAAGGCTAGCAGCTAATCCGCTTCTTTTTTCAATTTATCTCTTCTTGATTCTTATGAGGGAGAAGACTCAGCTGTTGAAATATACAATGCTGGTTTATGATCATATCCTTATCTATGCTTAATAAAAAGGGAAGGAAGAATATTGATGAGTATTTGAGTGGAAAAAGTTTCACATTTCAATGTTGTTGTTCTACAGCTTAATTAGAATAGAAGGGTAGTTCAAGGTTTGGGTGCCTGTGAAGGTTTAGTTAGAGATGACATGACCACAACTATAAACCAAGAGTCTTTTACTTTTAACTTGTGTATAAAATATAAGTGTTACACATAGATAGTTATATAAGACATAGATCCATCAGGCCCGAGATTTCATGTATGCTTTTTGTAGGGCCTGGTCTCTCCTAAAGGTATCCATCCCATTGTTTCCACTGAATTAGTTCCCAAGTATCTTTATCCCCTTTGGCTCGTAACTGCTCTTCCTCTTTCTTTATCTTTCTCTCACTCTCTCTCCACTGTTGTTTAGTTAATAACAACCTTTCCTGACTCCTCAGTAACTGAGCAGAGTGCTAGCTAACTGATGTAATCCAAGTTTTTGCTCTCTTTTGTTTTTACCTTGGTAGGTTGTTGTTCTTGTCGCTGCTTCGTTGGGCACGCCCGCAAGTTGTGCAGAGAAATTTGCAGGGCTTTTAAAAGGTAGGATTCATCTCAATTTTCTTGGACCCTTTTGTTTATATATATTAATTCTTTCTCACTTGTTTATCCCCTTACACATTAATATGTTTCCTTTTTGTTCTTTTCAAGATTGAATGTTCCCCATATCTCTAATTTGCTCGTTTCCTCGATCATTTCAATTCACCACATAGATACATACTGTTAACTCTCTCGGAGAATGCAGATGCCATCATAAATATAAATTTATTTTATTCCTTTTGTAGTAGTTATCTGGTTAGCTTGCACTGCATTTTCTTTTAGATGAAACTGTTTGCACCAACAATTTTTTTTCTTTAATTTCCATCCCATGTATTGAACATATCATTAATTTCCATCCCATGTATTGCGTCAGCTGAAGTAGAGAACAGGACCTTTATCTTTCAGTTTAGCCACATGTTTTCGCCTTTTTGCAAGAACTTATACCTATAATCCTTCAAAAGTTACCAAAACAAAATTAATGGCCTCCAACTTTGAAAATGTTGTAGCTTTTCTATTTTTTTCCCACCAACAAGTATTATTTCCAATCTATTTTTTAAGATTGTGAAGCATAGATAGTAATTTTGCAATACTATGTCATAGTGTCTTATTGACTATCTGTGTAGTCATTTGAAAAAAATTATAGATATTAGATTTGATATTCCTTCGCTGCAAGTTGCATATTGGCAGTAATAACTGTTTGAAGCTGTTAGTGACCTCACTACAGTTTGCCTATTTGTTTGCTATATATAGCTTGAAATCTTAGATCCAAGGCCAAAAACATGACCTGTGAATCAAACGCTGTGCAGCATGGGAACAAAAAACTTTTTCAATTTGGTCTATTATACTTTCAGGAGACTGAAGAAAGTTTATACTTTGAATATAGATTTCAAAGTTCATCATTAGTCCTTTTCCTCAATAAAAGAAAAAAAATTCATCATCAGTTCTCATATGTGCTAAACAAAAAAAAAAAAGAAATACATGATTAATCTTTAATAGTTAAAGCTATCACCAATTGGTTATGATAAGCTTTTGAACAACTAAACCTTTCTCAAAACAATTTTACTTGTTCAGACTTCAGAGTACTGATTTTAGTTTCCTAGGAGAGGATGTTGACCTGTATCTAGTACATCTCCACTTTCCCATTTCATTTATTGATAGTTTATAAGATTTTCCAGACTATTGCTCCTTTTATTTTTCTCAACATCAAAACCCTAGATGAAACATGAACTATTACTGATCATATGGACACACACACACACAAACATGAAGATGAATAAGGTTCCAATTCGTAATTCTGTGCTAACATCATATCTTTGTTCATCGGTCACCTTAACTAGAACTTTGTTCCAGCAGCCTGACAACAGTTTTTGATCAAATTTCATTTGCATCCTGTTTTTCTTGTACAATTAGCCTAGGACATGCATTGCATATAAAGCTCTATTATGTTAATTACCCTTGGACTTGCAAATTAAATTACACATGCATTACATCCTGTTTTTCTTGTTGGTTTTGTCATTTATTAAATTAAAAAAGAGAGAGAAAAATCTCTTAATATCATACTATAAATCTGTAGAAAATTTTTGTTTCTACTTGCCCTAGACCTAGTGGAAAGCAACACTTGCTATCAGCTACAATCTTTGATTACAATTCACCGGTTAACAAGGACTAAAGAATGCCTCTACATGGTTATCTTTACATTCATATACCCGTTCATGTACATGAATATTTGTTTGCATTTATACTTTCTATACATTATATTGGATGATTTATTAATTTGACCTTTTTTTCTGCATGATCATTCATGTAAATGATTTTTAAAAAATCTGCATATGGCACTATAAACTTACTATCTATTTCTTGGTGGGTTAATCGTTTGGTTTTGAACATTAATCCTTTCACTGCCCGAACCCTTGATGGGTGGTTTTGCTGTTATCACTTGACTGAAAGGAAATGTAGGAGTAGGACAGTCTCAAACGCAAAGCAAATTTGAAAATAGCAGATGGACACAAGAAAAATTGTGGTTTTTGAAATGAAATGAAAAGACAGAAATTTAATTTTGTTGTCTCCAGTTCATTAGTCAACAAGCCATTAAAAACATTTCTATTTAAACTCCTTGATTTGAATTGGATACTACTTCCCAATTTTTTTTTTAATGGAAATGAGCCAGCCAGTTGCTTATAGATTAAGTATCATTTGGATGGATGGGAGATTGATTTTGACAAGATTAAAAATGAAGATGATGATAAAATTGAATGTTATAGTGGTAAGATTAAATTTAATAATAAAATATATATTTAAATGTAAAAACAATCGATGAAATACAAATAAAAAATATCATTAAAGATACTCCATCTATCTCATTTTTTTAGGTTTTTTTTTTTTTTTGAGATGTCTCAAAATTATATATTATTTTTTTGAACATCTAAAACTTTTTTTTTAATTTTAAATTATTTAATTTTTTTTTTTTACTTTTTAACATTAAAAATTATGGAACTTTAAATTTATAAAAAAATTGTAAATTTAAATATTGAATATATTAAAGTTAAAATTTTTTTCTTAAACTCTGTGAAAATTAATATATGAAAAATATGTTAAAACAGAGGAAGTATTAATTTAAAAATAAAGTAAAATTTATTTTGATACATATTTTAATTTTATTTAACGTTTAAAATATTCAAAAATTAATTGCTTAGAGAGAAAAAAAATAATGTCAATAAGAATAGGATGTTATTTTTTAAAATCTATTAAAATTGTTTTAATATTAATAATTTAAATATAGGGATAAAATTGGTTTAAAAGAAAATTAAGAAGACAAAAATGTAAAAAATGAGCGGCATTGGCTCACTCCCCTTCCCCTCAATAAAAATTCTCCTTCCCACCGATGCCACACCAGCTCAATTAGATCATGATGTTGCCACCCAAATGGATAGCTACGGTGCAATTGTAGAAAAAAAGAGGCTTAATCATACGTCATAATTGCCGTGATGAGACCCAAATGCAGCCCTGAATCCAAGAAAATGAACTTTTTATAATTTTTTTATAAAAAAATTAATATGAGATATAAAAAATGTTAGGATGTTAAAATTTAAATTTATTAAAATTAAAATTAATTTTTAAAAATAATTATATAAATTAATCAAATTAAAATTTAGATTTTATTTTTTTAATTATTTAAACGATCTTCAAATTATTGGATATGAGCTCTTTCAAAATCCTCATATACAGTGGAATATGCATCATGTAATGTGCATAGTCACTTAAAAATATTTCATATTTTAGCATTTGTCCAAACCCTATGACTTTGGTAATCTTGGGAAACTAAGCTACATTTCAAGTCCAAAACTCGGCAGCTAACCTAAAATATATGGCTAAGCTTTCTTTACTGTTTTTGGGGTGGTGCATCGTGAATGGCAATTTTTTTTTCTTTGTCTAATCTTTAAATGCAAAGCTAATTGAGGTGTTTTCAAAGAAAAGAATGGTGCAATATTGTTTTCAAATGGAGTGCTTGACCGACTTTTGCATGTCATGGATTCTTTTTCATGCACTGACGGCGCTTCAAAAGTTCATGTTAATATTGTAAGGGAAGAAATTTGTATTCTACTGTCGGAAACATCAAATTTAATGTCTTTGGTGTTTTATGTGAAAAGAGTTCTTTAGATATTTAATTTGACCCCATTATATATATATATATATATATATTAAGAAGTTAATTTAATTTTATATATTTTCAATAAATCATATGATGCTATTTCATTAATACACGAATATCAATATCTAAAATAAATGTACAAAAATTAATATTTTTTTAAAAAAATTTTATTTATTAATAAAGTGACATCATCTTATTTATTTTATTATATACAATGCATCAAATATAAATCTATTATATATATATTATTTTAATGAAATAATTATATTGTCATTTCATTAATAATAACTTAATTTTAAAAGTTTTAAGAATTAATGTTCATAAATTTAATTTGACAAAAGAATACATTTTTGTTCATTATGTGGATAATTAAATTAATAAATAATGATATTGCATTAAATGCAAACTCTTAAAAAGTAGTAGCTGCTTTTAACTTTTGCAAGATTTGAAAATTTAATGTGATTTTTAAAGCTAACTAAAGTTCCTAAAAACAAACTTTATCAAAACAGGTATAATGAATTTCTTAACAGACAAAAATATCTTTGTCTTAATTTCAAGTAATTAATTAATTGAAAATGACCTTTTAACGAACTTTTTTTTTTTTTTTTCATACTGAAACTTCAATCAAGCCATTCTTTGTTCATCTGACCCATGCCATTAATCTTTGTCATCTAATATGCTAAAACATTTATATGTTATCAATGTTTTTATAATTTCTCTCATCCTTTAATAATATCTTCTGTCCTTTATAGATATTAGTTAGTGTTTTTTAATAAAAATTATTTATAGCTCAAAATAAAAGTTTACTTTTTACTCAGTTACTTGTATTGTTTCTTTTTCCAAGAATACTGAGTTGCATTCTTTAACTAATAGATTTTTTTAAAAATGTTAATGTTATAATATATTTTAAATTATAGTGAAATATTTAATATGATATTTAAATTTTAAAAATTTTTAATGTGATATATAAATTATAAATTTATTAACTAATATGATATTTGAAAAATTATTTATCTGTTACGTATTATCATTTTAAAGTATCATATTAGTTAGGAAATTCATAATTCAGATGTTACATAAGATATTTTTAAAATTTAGATAGCATATTAAATGTTTCACTATAATTTAAGAAAAATCATGATATTAACCTTTTTTTTTTTTTAAATAAAGATAGACTTTAGTAAGCACATGATAAGTTTATGCAATAAGATTCAAATTTATCACTTTTATTTACGATGATTGATCAAATCTATAACTTATATAATCTCAATGTTATCATTATATTTTCTATTTTAGCTAAAAATATCAAAAGTTATGACATTTTATAAAATATTTATTTTTTTCTCACAAATTATTCTTTTATCACTAAATTTTAATTTTTTAAAACTAAAATAAAAAATAGGTGCTAAAATTACACCAATTCAAATACAAATGATAAATTTAATCCATCATCTACTAATAAACTTAGATCTAATCCCATAACATTGAGCATTTGAACATATTTGCATTAAATCAATTACTTGATCAGGAGTAATACTAAGTACAAATCTAGTATGTTATTGGAAGATATGTTATGTTTTTCCCTTCTTTGGTTTGGTAAGTAGAAAATTTGTCAACCATCAGTAATTTGTTGTATTAATTAGTTTATGCCTAGGTAAGCTATTATTCTCTATGATCTTTGTCACTTTAATTAGGTAACTACTATACTTATCAAAGACATCACATTGCAGGTATAGAAGTTTACATGGCTGAATGTGAAAGAACGATGTCAACCCTTTAGCTTTAATAGTTTGGATATAATAATTAATGTCCCATTCTTTAATTCCCTCCTCATGACTCTCATATAGACCAACAATTGATTTTAAAAAAAATTATAAGTATTAAGATTTAAACTTTAATTCAGACTTACTGGATATCAAATTCTATCATTATATGTTTAAACAAGGAGGCAAGAATGAATATAATTGAGGGAAAAAAAGAAAAGAAAAGAAAAAGACAGAAAGAGGCATGTGTAACTGCAAGTACAATTATTAGAGATAGTAAAGATTAATTAGGATAAAAAAGTTCAAAATTTTATATTGAAACAACTGGTAAATTTGTTTAGTATAAAATATTAATAATTTATATATTTTATATGAAAATTATATGTTTTAATTTGTATTGATATAAAAATAAAATATATTTTTTATTTTTATTAAATTCATATATAATATTTATTAAAATTTTAAATCATTTATTTTATTTATATTATTTTTATATATTTTCATCATATTATATTTTTAATTATTAGAGTTAAGGCAAAATTACAATCCCAAGAAAAAAAAAGGGTTGTGGTTCAATTTTCCCAGTTGAGAAACAATGCTATTTGCCGTTTTAGTGTAGAAGCAATGGAAAAGGATCCAATTTCCAATTGGATTGTACTGTCAAACGAGCAGGGTTGGAGGGCAGGGTCCTTTTACTAGAGAAAGCATAATTGTTGTTAGGCTGTCATCCTTTAAAAGGACAAGCCACTGCCAAGGTTCCAATGCCGATCAACCTCAATCATGACTCATCCTCTTTTATACGTGTACATGGATTATGGATACTTGGACACTTTCAATTCATTATTCACATGTTTGTGTGTATGGGTTAGACTGGGCCCCTTTGAGTACGTGAAAGCAAAATTAAAAAAAAAAAAAAAAACAATAACGATGGTGGTAGCTAGCAAGTAGCAATCTAAAAGTAACAGCAGCAGGAGGGAGAGAGACCATTCAATGAATGGCGTGTAGGGCTGCGGTTTTGGACTGAGCTGAGGCAAAACACAAATGACAGCGGTAACGATATCGTGGGCAATACCCATACCTCCTTTTATACCATCAATTTCATGTAATTAGAATCAACTCTGGTCCCTTAACAGTATTTCTGCTCACATGGTTTCCATCTCCCATATGCTTTTGCTTGAAATGACCTCACAGCCCCTCTAACCCTTTCCCGCCTCTCCATTCTTCTGGGTTTGGGGGATTTTCTACTCTCTCTTTGGCTTTTGCACTCACTCAATTGCCTTTTCCTGCAGGCTGTTGCCAGTCATGAGATGATGATCATATCAATGGCAGTTCACACTTTAAAACGTCCTTAATTAATATTCCCTCCCTCTCCAAGTATATAGTATATGCTTGCTCCTTCATTAACTAACTACAAATTTAGCTTTGGAAGCCTGTTCGTACGCAAATGCAAAATCCAAAATGATCAGTTTGAAAACTTCATTAATTACTTTAACTATATATATATATATATTTTAAGATATTACATGAATCAATTGAGTTAAAGTTGTATATATTTTTTTGCTAGTGATGTAAATACTACCACCTTGAAAGTGTTGGACATGAAATGCTTGTCATGTAGCTCATGCTTAAGTTAAAATTTATGTTTTGGGTGATCCCACCATCTTATATATGAACAAAAAGGAAGCTCATAAATGACAAGCATCGTGCACGCAGCGAGTAATAACCACCAACCAAAGGCAACAAAGAAAGGTTTGACGAAGACGAGATCAGAGCAATGAATGGATCGGAAACAAGATTAGTCTTACGCGCAAACCTGGGCTGGGGCACCAAGCCCCCACCCTACAAATTAAATAGTGTTTTCAAGATCAGAGGCGTAATCAATGACGACAATAAAGTTGGAAATACAAAAGAAAAGTAGTTCTCCTTGTTTTATTGTCCTCTCTCTCCCAATCCCAAAACCCTGCCAACGGATGAGGACGCGTGCAAACTACTCCCACTCCCTAGACTGCATGGACCACGTTTTGGTTTGATGTTTCATTGGATTTAATGCACCACATTCCCGTGATACCCTTCACTAGTCATCATCTTGCGTTGGCTCTATTCCGGAAGACTTTTTCCATGGTGAAAACTAAAGAAGAGAATTCAAAGAGGAAAGAGAGAAGTGGCACACTTCCCTTCCTTTCCCTTTTCTACCACTCAACATTCCACGTCTCTTAAAGGTGGATGTGGACAATGGATTGCATCTGTCTCTTCTCAGTGTTAGGCATCGAAAATGTCAAACCGTAGACGGCTCTGATTAACTCTGCTTTTCTTGTTTTCGTTATGTAATTATATTGATATAGATGACGCTATCATGCAGAAAGAAGCGAGAAAAATAAAGTGTAAAGAAAAAAAGAAGTACAAGCTGCAACAAAAGAAGAAGAGAAGATTAAAAAGAAACCAAAATAAAGCTGATAGAAACCAAAATAAAGCTGATGGCCGAGGGGTGGGAGGACGAACTATAGGTACTGATAACAACAACGCTACTGTTTCTATTTCATAATACTATTATTAAATACTAGTATTCTTTATCATGACAGAGCATTCATAATGACAGTGCAAAGGGTGCATGGCAGCCGATCCCATAAAACAACCGCAATTATAGCGAAATATAGAGGGAGGTGACAGTAACAACTCATTGGGTTGCTGCTGCTGAATGACCTTCATAACAGCCGTAAATACTAGAGAGAAAGACTCCAATATTTCTAAAATTTTTATGCTAGTAAATGAAATACTGTACGAAGGGGCCAGTAAATATTTTACAGAAGCAGAGGAGGGGAAAAAAAGGAAGAAAGGGGGGGGATGGGGGGAGGTGGGGCTGACTGAAAAATTCTGACCACCTGGGATGTCATGGGGCTGATTTTTTGTCCTACACTTTGCTCTCCCACAATTAATGCCGGGTGCCCAGATTGTTGTTAAGATATCCCAACTGCAACCATTTGCGATATGCCCATTCCCTTCCTACAATGCTCAGTTTTTTTATTTTTTTAGCCTGCCTGGCATGGCATCTTCTAACAACACCATTATTCTGGTTTCATGCAATAATGATGAGATGGGATGGACCATATTTTATGTATATGGACCATTTTTGGGAGAGGGAGCAGCGCAATTAGAGCTAAACTACATTGAGGTTTGGCAGTATTGACTTTCCTTCTATTTATTTTACAAATTAAATTCTCTCTATTGCCATTGTAAATAGGATGCCCAGTTAGGGGTCCCCCACTTGAATGAGTAGTCACTTTAGCCTGAGTGAAGGTTTTACATGGCCTGTCATTGTACTTCCAACTGGGTATTCAAAACCTAAGCCTTTGCGCGGTACCACTATAGTAAATGAGAGATAAATGACCTTCCATCTCCAACCAGACCACTAGAAAAATACTTATCTTTTCAACTATTATCGTACTTAAAATCACAACGATGCTCTTCCCTTCATTAATTCTTGGAACTACATGGTATACCGTTTTGGTTGTACCATTGGCATATACTGAAACGTCATTGTTTTTGACAGGTTTTCGCCGTGAAAATTTGTTGGATATCAGAAGAAAAGAGTGATCGAGGAATTCCACCATTAATCCTACCATGGGATAAATGTGATGGGATATTAATTATGATTCACTCACTCTGGTTATAATGGAAAATGAAAAAATGATTTTGGTGCTGCTTCACTTTGTTTAGTTTCATTCTAACCTCACACTGATTTTTACATCTTAATAATCACGTACGTTTGTCCGAACAAAAACGCAAGAATGGATGAGTAGTACTGCCAAAAACTAGGGCTGCAGCCCTTCAAGTGAATGTTCACATAGGCAAAAGCAGTCCAACAACGCTGTTCAATACGGAAAATAGAACAGAACCCACATGTTAAGCGGCCCAAAACGTTTTCTTAGACGCAATGGGCCTAGTTGCGGGACAACAGCCAGTTTAGTATTAGTGAGAGAAATACCATTTACAAGTTATCTGCCACAAGCTGAGTGTATATCCTCAGGGATGGTGAACTGAACCTTGGGGGTGCTTACCTCGATGCCTTGTCAACTGACTTTTCTGCCCCATATTGTCACCAGAAACACAGACTCTGGTGGCTTTATCCTTCTGTGTTAAGATAACAACTTTTAAACTACCATTAAACACAAAATCTGGTAGCTTGCAGGTCCAGGACAGGAGCTTCCATCCAAGGCTTCACCACATTCAGAAATGTATCACAGTTTCTTCATTATATTTATCACCTATGCACAAAATATCCTCCTTCCACCTGCACTTCGACTCATCAACCCCACATGTTAGATTACGGGCTCAAGCAGAGCCCTAAAGTGAACCCCTATACAACTGCCAAAATAGTGAAAATTAGTTATAAAGATGGTCCTACAAATACATGTCTTTTAGCCACAGCTTCCTACAACCATCAATTTAGGGCTTGGAATGCACTGCTGTGAAAATGTGCCAGAGTAGAAAGGCAGTCTCGAAAGGGGAAAATGTTTAAGGGTTGAGGTAAAGAAAATAACCTTTATTTTAATCAGTGTCTGTCTGGCTCTGATTTCATGTGCAAGGCATGCCCTTGATATTTCATTAAATATAAAGCTGCTTTAGCCTCAAGCCACAAATTCCTATAAAATAAGACTTCTGGGGGCATTTCATGCTCTATTGAATGAATTACTTTTGGATCCTTCTCAATAACCTGAATCTTAAACCGAGAATAGAAAGATTCAGCATCGAATTCAGAAACAAAATTAACAAATTCTACTTGATAGCATCAGAATTAGTAACAAAATTACCAGCATACCACCACAAATAATACCTGACCGATGTCATCGCCCTTCCTGAAACCTTCATCATCATTGCTTTGATTAAAAGAATACAACATTCTACTAAAAATGTGAGCAGATGTCTTACGCATTTCCTGATCATGTAAAACAACTTTATCCTTCACCTTTGTTACCTGAAAATTCATGTTCAGTGCTGATAGATAAATTATTCAATTAAGGTTTTTCAGAACCTAATAAAGCTTTTAGTGTGATAATGTTTACCCTATGCTGTAATAGCAAACCATTAAGTCATAGAGGGGCAGCAAGAGAGGACTAAGCTCATTCTTTTCCAGATTATTCTAGCTCAAAACATTCCTTAGAGAACAATTATGTGAGAAAAAAGATTAATAAAGGCACATTACAGGTCAATTGCTCTCAGTCTCAGCGTATAAGAGAAGAATAGTTTTTACTCCGATATAAACAGCCTGGCCGTTGAAAAATAAATCAACCAATCAAATGCATGGAGGTTGAAATTATTATCACAAAAACATAATAACAATTATAATGTGAATAATACATGCTTTGACCTTCCAAATTGGTTTCCATGGTAATTATACCTAAAACATGAAGCAAATTCTCCAGTAAGCAAATAAGACCAATGATGGCAATAGGATATTAAGTATCATACCTCATGGTGAGCAGCTGGCTGTCTCTGGTAGTATAAAGTGCACGGATCACTTGATACAGGCCTCACAGCCATTTGACCAGCCTTATTTCTGATAACAACATAAATGTTATTGATTATATTTAGGAGTTTATCATGCTCATGCTCATGCTCACTCAGTGAACCTAAATCAAATGAAGAATTCTGTAGAAGCAACTCCGACAAATATTGGATTGTATTAATCAATAATTTAACATCTATTTTGGGAGGTGTAGACTTTGATGGCTCTTGAAGTCTTTCAGAAAAATCAGAAAAAAGACCAATTCCAGTGGAATTTGAATTCAAGGCAATTTCTGTTGTAAGGAAAGAGATGCTAGTACTTGGCCGATTACGTGCAATGTCCTCAACACTATCCAACCCATTATGTGTTGCATCCGCAATACCCTCCATGGAGCCACCAACACTTGTACCTCTCACAAGCTGACTTTCAGATGTAACATACTCTTCCCTGAGATTTGGCTGAAAACTACAAGAAGAATTTACCACTGAACTTCTAAATGACTCGAAGGGAACACAATGCTCCTTTCTTGCTATATCACTGATCCTTTCTGTAGGACATGTTCCTGCTTTAACAGAATCTGTTAATTTGTGTTCTGCTGATGAAGAAATAACAGCTAAAGCCGCAATCTTCTGAGAAGACAAGGAACTATCTCCATGACATTCCTTCTGATGGTAATCCACTTTTTGTTTAGAATTTCCAGGAATAAACACAGGTGCCAGAGGATCTAAACTATTACGTGCCACTTTTTCATTCTTGGAATGTTCTGATTTCAGAGGCACTGAAGCTCTAGCTGCTGGAGATTGACCCTTAGAATCTTCTGAATTTACAGGCACTAAATCTCTGAATGGAGATTTATAAGCCTGGATTCCTTTCCAGCAAGGTGAATCTACATCAGAATCATCATGGTTAGTGGAAGATTTATCATCAGGTATACCTGCTTTAGCACCATGTTGTTCCAGAGTTAAGTCTTCAGGAAAATTGGGACAAGCAGTTTGAAGCTTGGGTTTTGCTGTAATAGAGGGATTTTTAATCTCACTGAGGACAGGTTCAACAATCTTTCTTTTTTCACCTTTTTCTACTATGACTTGGTCATGGCAAGCCACCTTTTCTACAGGATTCTGCACTTCATCAGTATCCATCATGCTACACAAAACATGGTCAAAATAAGTATCCCTTTTGCAGACTGGCTCAGTGCTGCCAGAAGCCGCATACTTTAATGTAAACGGTTTAACAATTGAAGGATTGGAACTAGAACTTGATGGTTTGAAATTTGGAGCTGAATAAGAAAAACACTCTGGTGCACATGAAACCAGAGTTTCAGCTGCACGTGAACCAAAATGTGGAAAGCATCTCTCATTGGTAATAATAGTTGAATCACAATGACTCCAAGTCATTAATGGGGCTGAGTATGACAGTTGACTTTGAGAATCTTGAGGTATGGGAGAAAAGGACAAATCCAATGATGCCGTCAATGGCTTTGTCATACATTTGTTCAACAAATTTATCTCAGAATTAGCCAGTTGATAAACACTGCTTTCAGTACGTATGTCCTCCATGTCTTCTGGTCTAATTCGATTATCTTTTCCTATGACCACACTGACTTTTCCATGCAAAACAGAAGATGTTTCACTAACAAGTTTTGATCCTTCAACAGTTGTACCTGAACAAAACCATTAACAGTTTCAGCCCTTATAGCATGGTCACCAGAAAAAGTATAAATTGATTGAACATGCTTCTTATTTTTATTCATCTTTGCACTTTAAGTAGTCTCCAGTCAATCCAAGAAGAATAAAACCCTGCGATTCAAAACCGATAAACTACTGCTCCCTTTAGAAGAACAACTCTAAAAGTTATTTTTCAGTATTAGAATGTTACAAACTCACAATTGTTAATACCTAATGACATTAATGAGACTGCCATAGTTAATCTCTGGTATTACACAACATGACAAATCAAAGACAACCGTTCATGTTTTCCTAGCATTGTCCTTTATACATGTAATTTGTGATCAGTGTCTCGAATTATTAAGCAAACCAAAAAAAATCCTAAACAAATGACCAAAATACAATAATGTTTCTCATTTATACACAAGTAATAACTAAAGCTGCTAAAAAATTCTGAATAAAGGAGCAACAAATCTTCACTGAAGTATTATATGCCTCATGTTCTTTCTGGTGTCCCCTCAACATTGATCCATGTCCCAAAATAATTCACCTTTGTTTTCATCATTGAATCATCCCTATCGGTTCCTAAAGTCCATATTAACTTGTAGTTAAGCCAAAAAAATACTGGGGGTAGAGAGCATCATGAAGCCACATAAAATAAGATAGAAACCATGATTTTCATCATCGTACTTACGAGATTGGGGAAATAGTGTTCTTGATGTTTGATAGCAAATGAATTTCCTCCTCTATAACATGTAGGATTTTAATTTTATATTTACAACATTAATTAGAAATGGGGCCATCAGCGGTATAGAAATATCTAACAAACTCCATCACAAGTCTCATAAAGGTAACAATGACCGGGTGGGCTATTGTAAGATAATGAATCAATCATAGCAAATTGATTAGTTTGATACGAAAATGAAAATCCTCTTAAGAAATTGAAAATACCTTGCTCAAGCAGTTTCTTGTGGGGAACATCTGGCCCTTGTTGATTCGTTGCAGTTCCCTGCACTCTACTCTTGTAGCCCACATTGCCCAAGCTTGAAGAACTAGGAATGAAACTAGTTTGAGAAGATTGATGAGTAGGCAAAGTGAAATGGGTGTGAACTGCAGATTCCTCTAATGGGTAGTATGGAAAACGAGAATCGGGTTCAAAGTCAAGGTCATCAACATAAGGGAAAGCAGTAATAGAAGTAGTATCTGAGTGATAGGCATGGTAGCCATGACGACCTTGACCACCCAAACTCAGGTAGGGAAAGGGTTGATCAAGATTGGAAGTAGACAAAGAAGAAGAAGAAGAGTCAAGTAAAGGGTCAAAGGATTCATGGCGATTGAAAGGGTTGCTGATAGTGAACGGACGAGCCAAAGGTGACAAACGAGACGAGGATGTTGGGGTTGACAAGACATCAATGGCCTTATTACTCTCACTCATCATTCTCCAAACCAAACAACCCACAACAAAAACCTCTCACTTTTTTCTTTCTACCTTCATTGGCAAAACAGAACAAAAAAACAGAAAGGAATGGATAAGTCGACATGATCATCATCATAGTATAAACTTTAAAGAGGTAAAAGAACAATTGAAGAATGCAAATTGAACAAAATGACTGGAATTGTGTCATATTTCATTACCTGAAAAGAAACATAGATTTTGAAGGTGAAAGAATTCAAGTCTTTTTCTGGGTTTTGATTCAATTTGTTTGTTTTTACACTGCGGTCCGCAGGAATGGATGGAGTGCAACCAGCTCTTCCCTTGTCTTTGATTTTATTTGAACGGAGACTTCCTCTTATGACTGCTTCTTTCATAAGTCATGGACCAATAATAGACTGACTCGTAGGATCGAACCTTACTCTTTTCCTATTTTTTCTTTTAGCCTTTAACTTTCCCATAATTTTCCTTTTTACGCCCTCATTTTTTTCCCTTACATGAAGACTTTTAACTTTAATTCTATTATTTTATGATTAGTAATATTTTTCATCCTATTAATTTAATTAATCCTCTTTTATTTTCAAATTAAAAATCATTAAAGATAAATTTATAATCTCTAATAATTAACTAGTTTTTCTACACCTACTTTACACAATTAGTTTTATTTTTAAAAAATATTTAATTAATTTATATATATAAATAAGTATATATACACACATATATATAATAGTTTTAAAAATTTTTGAAACTCATGCTATTTTATTGGAATAAAAATTAAAAAGAAAAAAAGAAAACAAATTAAATTTAAAATAATAACAAAAAAATAAAATAACAATCATAAAGCAAAATTTAAAATAATAAAAAATTAAAATAACAATCATATTGAAAAAATAAAAAAGACAAACTAATATCATTTCTAATTATAGTAATACCACGAAACCTACAAAAAAGAAAAAGAAATATTATTTGAGTATGATCTCCATAATCTTTTACAACAAAAACCTATATATAGAATAAATAAGAAAGATTAAAAGTCATTGATCATTAATTCATGAAATATAAAAATTTGATATTAATGTAATAATTTTTTTTTTCAAAGGAAGACAAATACCCATACAAAGAGAAAGAGAGATGACGGAGTTCGAACCCATGTCTACATTTTTTTTAAAGCCTCTTAACCAAAATTTAATTTCAAATTATTAATATTAGTGAAATATGAAAAAATTAAAATTAATATAATAATATTTTGTAATTTTTCATATCTTTATTATTTTATTTAAATTCAATGATTATTAAAATATGAAAAAACTTTTAAAAAATTGATATTTCCTTTCTAACAATGTACCACTACTTTTTTATTTGGTTATAAAATGTGGTGCTCTTCTACAAATAACACATGTATTTAGTATATTTTAGTCCAAATTTGACAATAATCATGATATTTCAGTAGAAAGAAAAATATGCCTAAAATGAGATTTGTAAATACTGCAAACATATTGTGGTTTTATGTAAATTAGGAAGAGATGTGAGACTCAAATGTTATTAACTCAAATAGGGGCACATTTGAAAGTTGAAATTGGTTGAGAAATGGTTGGTTTTCATGGGAACAGAAAAGAAGTAAGAAACAAAGAAGGAACCGATAATAATAATAATAATAATTCCTATCTGTTACTTTATAAAAAAATCGACCAATCACCTAACAAAGTGAACGTGGAACACGCTTTTTGCATTGGCAATCAACTTCCACTGTTTGATCTTTCGTTTTGCGAAATACCAAACCAATCTAACGGTCCAAAACAATTCTATTAACTTCGTACCTTCTCAATGAAGTAAACCCCCTGGCCCTGTTCATTTCTTTTAAAGGAAACCAAATGGAAAATAAATCAGAATCCCCTGTGATTATCCTCAAAGAAAACGGGACGTTGTTGGCATTTGGAAAAGGAATTTTATGAAACAATTGTTTCATATGCATTTGATATTCAAATCATGTTACCTAATTTTATTTTTTTAAAATTAATTATTATCATTTATTATGCATGATAATAAAATGATAAATATTTATTTAAAAAAATTTATTAATTTTTTAATAAATAAATAATTTTTTAAATATAATTGTTTGATATAATTTGAATGAAAATTTTATATATTGATATAAAATAGTTATTTCAAATAATCTTTTCTCATGACTTCTTTCTATGTGTCATTGTTAGTTAGTTAATAAGTTTTTCTATTGATTTTTCATATCAAATTGAAAAAAAATACAAATGAATATTTTTTTATTTGAGTTTATATTTAATATATTATACAAATTTTATATATTATCAACAAATCAAATTATATTACCTCATTAATAAGCAAAAATCATCTCTTAAAATAAATATATAAAAATTAATATTTTTTAAAAATTTATTATTTTTATTATTTATTAATGAAATGATATTATTTTATTCATTAATAACATTTAAAATCTATACACAAACAGTACATCAAATATAAATTCATCTGGTTTAATCAATCAATATAGCTTATAGTGAAACTTGTTTGGATATGAAAAATAAGACATCTTTAATAACAAAGTATAAATTTGTGAAATTTTTTTTTTCATTTGTTGAATTTATGGCAATAAAAAATTATTTGATATAAAACATTTTTAATTTCACAACATATAATATAATTTTTTTAATTAGTTTTTTCATAAATTCTAAAAAAAAAGTTGACAGCCGCAAATTCTTTTCTATTAAGGGATTCGTCCATGTGTTAGGTATGGCATTTGCTTTCTCTGGTCTAAATCTGCTTTTCATCTCTCAAGGGCTAGCTCAAGGCGTCAGGGGTGATGGGCCCCTCCAGTGGGAAATATTGCCAAATTATTACCGCATATTCCTTCCTTAGCATGACTCAGGAAAACAATAACACAGCAAAGAGAAGCAGATACCAGTTGAATATATTCGCTCTTATAAGAACCACTAGATGAAGATATATTAACTATTTACCTGCACCAAACTATATATTAATATACATTGATGAAAGTCTTTTCACACTAAATGAGTTATTACGTGATGATGATGATGGTGATGATCATAGAAATAGATAGTAATAACTAATTAATATTTTTTACATGAGACGGCAGGCATTGACATTGTCATCGTTGAACATGTTGCTGACCTTGTCATCTCCACGATGAGTTACAGGAATGTTGCCATGCCTCTGTCCAAGGTTGTAGCCATGCCTGTAATAGTTGTAACTCTCTTTGAACTCGTTTGTTGTGTCTTTGAAGTATTCATTAGTAGATGTGAAGTACAAAGGAGGATTAGGGTAGGGCCAAAATTCAGCCCTCTTTCCTGCCCTCCTCACTTGTTTCAGCACCTTGTTGCGATCAACGTACCCAATCACCGTCACCTTTTCCATTTCTAGGTCCACGACCACCGAATCAATCCCTAAACACAATATCTTTGAACATTAATCCTATGAAACAGTGATTGGACAAGAATCAGTTTAAGTATCGGTACGAGGGAAGATTTTTAAAGAAAGGAGAATATACCTCTAAGCTTGTAAATGGCGTTTTTGACTACTCTCTCGCAACCAGTGCAGCACATCCTGACTTTGAGGTCCACAGTCTGTAAAGAGAGATTAAGTTTAACAGTGATATATGCTATTTTTTTTTCACAAAATTATACAGGGTTCTGTTTATCTTTCTTCTTATTCCTTTATCATTCTTTTTGAGGCCGCCCTTTGTGCTTTATGCAGTTCTACGGCACACAAGGATTAAGAAATATCATGTTGGGTCTAGATTAAACTTAATTGGTTGCAGATTCTTGAATCCACTGAGACCAGGTAACATTGTCTTAAAGTTGGTACCAGAAATATGTTGATGATTCTAAGCAGACCTAGCAATTAAATGATTCAAAAAAAACGTAGTTTAAAATTTTAATATATGGATTTAGCAAAAACCAAAAAATATGTTTTATATTTGACGTGTCAAATGATAATACAATAATTTTGTGTTTTATGCATATTTAACAGTTCACACGAAACAAACAGACATGGATAGACGAATTTGATAAACATGATCAGTAAAAAAGCTTTGAATGGCTTGCCCTCCTAATAAAAGTTTGAATATCGTCAAAAACAATACCTTCACATGCTTTTGGATTGAGTAACTAAAGATTAGTTAACATAAGATTATTCTGCAGGTATATATTTAACTGAAAGTAAGTTGTTTTCAAATTTTGAGACAAAAGATTGAAGCACTTGCCTCAACATGGTCAAGATAATTGGTTGGTGAGGAATAGGAAAACCTTCTTTCATGGATTAAGCTTTAACCAAGCAAAGGAACAAAGATAGCACGCTCAACAAGCAACACAACTTTTTTATGAAGGAAAGCCTGAAGCGTTTTATATTTCTACTTCAACATCCATAAAGGACGTACGAAGGGGAAAGAAAAGGCAAAGATGCTGAATATACATATAATCCATAAAATAGAAGGAAAAGTTTAGCAAATTGGCATCATGGAGATGGTGCCTGTGGATAGATATAATATAAGAGAGCAAGGTTTTTTTTTTATTATATTATTCATTTGTTTTCTTAACAAGTTGGAGATGGAGAGCCATGGTGAAAGGTGAAGGCAAACAATTAAGATACCTAGATGGATCAAAAAACAAAATATACTTTGGGGGATGAAAGGGAAACCTGCAGAGAAAGTGGTCGACCCTTGGGCATGTTGTAGTAATTGATGTCGCTGACGCTTTTTTTGTTGTCTCGGTAGCCAAAGAAACAGTATGAGATGGCAGATATAATAGAGCCAAATGCTCTGGATATTAAGGTAGCCATAGAAATAAGTCTGCTCAAGTATATAAAGAGAAGGATATAAGAGAAACTGATGAAGACAATCCCAGCCCCAGAAGATATTCCTTTATTGCATTGGCATCGCCTCCCTTAAGTTCTAATCTCTTGGTAATATATTCCAAAGTAATCCGACACTACTTAAAAGATGAACAATTTCTTGCGCTTAATTATATCCATTGGACTCTGGCTTGGCCTTCATTTATAGTTCACACGTATACATGAAAATTATAATAAACCCTATGGGAGGGAATGGTATCAAACTCTCACGTTAATGCTTGAAATGTGGGTCAAGCTAACATGACTGCTGACACATACGGAAGGGAATATCAGCTGATTTGGGAGATGGATGGGCTTAAGGAAAGCTGGGTTTTGATGCAAAGGGAACATATATTCCTAAAATCTTGTCTTTCCACCATTTTTTGAAAATCACAATACAACATACATGCAAAAATAAATATCTAGAAAAAAGTTTTATTCCCCGCACATTTTTTTTAGTTAAGCCTACAAGCTATAGATATTTTACATTTTTATGCAAGCCTAAAGGAAAAAAGAACCTTTGCATTTTGTAGTACTATTGCCTTTTGGTAGTTATAGAAATATCAGTTGAAGGAATTTAATAGCAGAGAACAAAAGCACTGTTATTCCACACATCAGACTGCAATCCATTCAGGGCAATATTTATATTCTTCCAGCAATTACAGCCAATCACTGACCTGCAGACTGGCCAAAAAAGGATATATAGGAGAACTGAATTTATGGATGGTGCTACTTCTACCCTACTAGTAATGTATTCCCTTTAATGTACTCTGTATTGTTAACTCCAAAGAACGTTATCCATGAGATTTATGCCAATGTAGTTTATTCTGCACTACTTTTGGTTACTAATTATTCACAAGGTTCGGTGCTTTTATATACTTCTTAAAGTTAGTGTCAATTTGTTAATTTTCATAGTAATCATAGCTTATTTATTAGAAAGAGAACAACTTTTATTCTCCCTGCCATTAACACACATTTTAAAGATAGAAACGGTATAACTGGAAGAATGTCCCTTGAATTTATAAGTTATTTGTCAAATCATAATTTGTATTATTGTACTTGGAATCAAGAGCTAGCTTTCCGCATTTTAGTTCTATTGTTTATAAATTCCATGGGCCATGACTCAAGGAAAGGCAGCTGACACGCAAAACACGAGTTAAGAGGTTTTATTAATATAGTCAGCCGGCACAAATGGTCTCATTTTCAGGATTCTCTAACCCTAAGCATGTAAATATATATGTACTTTTGGCTCATAGACCAATCTTGTATATAAACGTTGTATAGCTGTATTCAACGCAAGTTACTCAAGTTATTCAAAAGTTTACATGGTAACTGAGGTTAAGCAAACCCAGCCGCTGTGTCCACAAACTCTGGTATTTATCTGCTGCCTAGGATCCCATAAGCAAGATCAGGTGCTTCATTCCATGAAAGAAGAATGGCCTATGATCTCATCAGAATATAGAGCTGCCTTAATTTCCAAATTACTTCGTCATCATACATTTCTGTGACATTCTGAAGAAACATTGACAGTACCAATTCCTTCAATTACATCAACAATTCAAAAGAGACGATGAATTCTCATGAAAACATTTACTTCCTTCACCGGCTTGCCTGCGGCCTTCCATGTGTGGGGCTTGACCACAGTTACTCTGGATTATGTCACATTATTTGATGATCCCTTCTGCAACACTGCCACTTTTAGGGTGCAGAGAACTTTAGCTTGAAAACTTAATAGCATTTGCTTGGTTGGAGGATTTGAATTTATACCAGCAAAGCATACTTGTTTTTCATAAATACATTCTTCCTTTGATCCCCACCCCTACGGACCAGACACATAGATTAGACGAGCATCAAATTCAGAACCACACTAAACAAGTAATCATTCCACAGAATCATTAAACAGTGCTTGTACATGGAGCTTCTTATGCTGAGGGTCCACATTAGAAGCGATTGTGCTCGGGAAACAGGGAGTATTTCGAAGAATTCCATTCCAATGATTCTGATATCTGAGGCACCCAACAGAATGAGCCTTCAGAATTCTTATTCTTGGAATCCCTAATAAGCACTCTTTCAACTGCATTGCATCAGAGGGCCGGGCCCAACTTGTCATTAGTTGTACGTTAGGCTTTAAGCCTGTCTGAGTTGCCAATGTAAGAAACTAGATCATCATCTAGCCCAACCCAAGAACCAACAAGAAAACAAATCTCGATTAGTCTTGTTGTTCTCGGAGTTGGTCGATTGAAATACAATTAACAGAGGTTAGTTCTTTTTTCCTTTTAAAAAAAAAGAAAGAAAACAAAGATTAGTTTGTTTTTCTTCCCATCTTACCAAGAGTCCATTGAGTTATGCAATAAAAGTCTGTCTTTTTTGTCCTAATTCTATTTTTTTCTAAAAATAAAAATGAGGGTTTAATCTCTTTAAAGCTTAATAATTAGATTAAGACTAAAATATTAAAATTTTTTTGAAATATTTCACTTTTTTAAAAAAAAGATCTTATATTTTTATTATACTAAAATAAACCCTTATCTTTTGTTTTATATCTAAATAAATTTTTATTTTAAATAAAAAATTAATTTATGTTAAGGATTTATTTAAATATAAATTAAAAATTAAAAACTCTTTTAAATGTAAATTAAAAATTAAAAATTTATTTACATAAAGTAATAAAATTTAAGAATTTTGTATTATTTTTGCCTTTGATTAACATACAAACCTTCGGTTAAGGTGTCTCTTCACTTCACGAAGAGAGTTTTGAACTTCTAATCATACAATCAAAATCAGGCAATGTAAGAAAATCACAGAGATAGATATTTTCCCACCTCATCTATTTCTCACCTGATTTTAGATCACAAAAGTACATGTTAATAAGTCGGACTTAGCCAAAACTCATCCGGTGGGCTGACAGTGACACCGGTAAATCTCGAAAGGGTTAAAAAAGTGCTTTAAAACTCCTCCAGTGGGCTGACACTTGTAAAACATCAGCTTAGATACAAATGTTGATGCTTTTGTTTGGCAGGATAAATGAACACTGAAAAACAAAGGACGTTCTAACACGTCTGCGCAACTCACATGCCCCGATGCCGATGCCGATGCCGATGCCTACCTTGTCTTTGTCCCTGTGCTAGTTTGTATCCATCTCTTACTGAATAAACCCTTTCGGCGGAATGTGAGAACTACCCAAAAACAACAGCCAATAGCTTTCTTCGGATATTTTATGAATCGATGTAGTTTCATTTCACTCTTTGACGTATGAAAAATCTGTCTAAACCGGCTTTAAATAAGGCAACGATTGAATATTATGGATCTTCGTGAAGAGATAAATATTAAAATTGAATTGTTTCCAAAATTCAATACCATGTTTCAGATCATCAAAATTGAACTACTCGGAAAGGCAAACAAGACTTTGAAGAACAAAGATTTGGCATAATGCAGTTTCGAATAAAAATTATATTACATAGATAATGAAAAGAGAACTCCGGCGGATGTATAGGTAATTGAAATCCGCATGCCTATCTATCCATAATGTAAAAATTTTTAAAAAAAAAAGAAGGAACAAGGAAAGAAAAACAGGGTTTAAACTTTTAAGCAGGGGCATGGAGAAGAGGGGGAGTGGAGGAAACAAAAGGAAGACGGCGGAGGATACGGAAACGAATACGCCTTGGAAAATGAGCTTCATGAAACATATGCTCAACCACTGTAGCCAACAGCACCGCGTACTCCTCCATAACCTCCGCTACAATAGCCACCAGAAACATCTCTTCAAGCTTGGCTCAGGCTAAAGCTAAAGACTTAAAAGCTTGGGATCACAAATCTAGCAAATCCAAATCAAATAATGAAGTCAATCGTCTCGAAAAATATTTATATAAATGGTGAAACTTTGGTGGTCAGGGAAGAAGGGTGGTAGTGCTTATAAGGAAAAGGTTTTGGTAGGGTTGAGTAATCGTTAAGGGACTCAATTGGCCGTGTCCACAAATATAATTTCATAGCGGAGGAGATGTTTGGTTTTTGGTTTTTTTTTTTTTTTTAATAGTAAATTATAATTTATAATTGATAATTTAAAAAACGACATAATAATGTAATGTAAAAATTATATAATAATATAACAAAAAAATTATTTAAAAAAACCTTACGTGACATATTTTAATATTTTAATAAAAACATATAAAATAAAAAATATATTTTATATTGTCAAGACAAATTATAATGTACTATTTTTATACAAAATATAAATGGCGTAAGATAAGTATAATGGCGGCGGCGGCAGCTAGCACTTGGGTTTGCAGTTTTGCAGTTCCAGTTTCCTGTGTGCCGCTGGGTTGAGGAGTTTCCACGTGGAGTTGCGCCCACATGAAAATTCATTGTTTTAAGTTTTGTTTAGACTTATCTGGACTATGACAGCCTTGTCGTTGTCCCTCCCCGTCTTTCATTCGTCCATTTATCGTAATATTTATAGAATTTATGTTTGATGTATTATTAACATAAATAAATTTTATATATTATTTTATTAATAGATAAATATTAATTTTTAAAATAAATATTTAAAAAAAATTATTTATCAATAAAATAGTTATTTTATTTTATTTTATTAATAAAATAATATTATTATATTTATTAATAATATATAAAATCTATACACTAATTTTACGTCAAACATAAATCATTATTTATTATAGTATAAAGTAATTCGGTTGTTATACCACGTCATTTCGCCATTTATGGCTGTTTATTACCGTAACATATCAGATGAATTTATCTGTAAAACTAAGGAAAATGTTTAAGTTTAACATTAATGTCATGTTTACTAAGAGAGGAAAAAAAAGATAATGTTTTTTTCCTTTTTAATTTTGGTAAAAAAAAATAATGAATTTTCATTCTTTTCTCTAAAAAACTATTTTTCTAAAAAAAACTATTTTTATTTAAAATCCAATGAGATGATTTTACACAATCTCACGAGTTCGTTTAAAAAGTGGTTAACTTACGTCGACAATTCTCGGCATCTAAGCAAAAAAAAAAAAAAAAAAGCATGTTTTTAATTTAATTCTTTAATTGTAATTCTTACTAGATAGAAATTGGCTAAAATATGTTTAATTTTAATAAATTAATATTATTACGAACTTCAATGAAGGATAAAATAATATTATTATATTTTTTATACATTATACAAATAAATAAAATTAAAATTTCTAAATATTTTTGTTGTATCCTCTCTCTCTCTCTTGATTGGAGAAAAAACGACTACTTACATTTTTGGTGTATAAAAAAAAATCAAAATAAATAATGTGGTAAAAAGATGAATAATTTACATTTTGTGATATTTGCTGGGCAAGGATTGTTGCATGAGAACCGTTGACTGAATGAAATCCGATCAACCAACTGGGAACTCAAATAAGATCTCCCATTTGATCATAACGAGTCCAACCTCTTCATTTTGGATTCCAAAAAGAAATAGAAACCGTAGAAGGAAGCACATCATTTTGGTGGTATGCAATGCAGCTAAGCATTGCTTCGCGAATCCCGTAATTTGTTAATTTATATATTTATATAATATTTTACAAAAAATTATATATCATAATTTATATTTTTTATTTTTATTAAATTTATATAAATTTTGTTAAAATTTTAATTTATCTCTCTTTTGTGTCATTTCCATGTGGTATCATATGTTATAGATATGGCTTTGCTGACATGGAACGAGCCCACAGTATGCATTGCGTCAACAACATGGGTAGATTAGAGGTGCCCGAGTTTGACACGGAATTACGGATGCAGTCTGTGCAACTTTCAATATCAACAAATCCGCGAATTATTCTCACAGGTCTGTCTACTGAAGATAAATCAGCACGACTTCCAAAAACAAAAGAAAAATGCAACTCAGCGAAACTTCAAACACAGCTCAAACTGAACCAATCGAGATGAGAAGCTACATTGATCAATCATAAAGCTTATCCCGATTTCAACTAGTGTTACCAGCAGTGGACATGCTATCATCCAATTAGTATACCATTAGTCTACAATAATATTTTGAAAAGGGAAAGTAAAGAAAGAACCTGATCATATTTCCTACCAAGATACAGCAGGAAAATGGACTACCTATCTACAGCCTATTTCAACAACATCAAGAATTCAAGATCTAAGTCATCTCCATATTCCCATGACTAGGACACACAAGATAGTAATAATGAAAATAGCGAAAACAAGAATTGATAGAGAGCTTGAGCGATGATGCATGGGGACTGCCTTTGAATGCACTGCTGGGCCTGTTTTGCTGCTTCGATGCTCACCACCCTGCTTAAGCCTCTGCCTCAGTTTTTTACAAGATTCTTCAGTAATATTCACGCTGCCATCAAACTTGAGTAACTCGTTCTCTTTCTCTGGCTCATCAGAGCTACAAGTCTGTCCTGTAGCTTCTGCTTTTGTGACCTGCATTGAAAGCATTTAAAGATATTGCTCACTTTGTAAAATGTACTTCAGTAAACTAATATTATACTTGACCTTAGCCAAAACCCAAAGAAAGGTAAGATAAATTCACTTCAATATATCAACAGCGCTCATGATTAGCTTTCTGTGGTCCTACCTCAGTTAGAGCAGATTGAACTTCTTCATCGAGACCAGTAGTTCTCATTTTGCCATCATCAACACAGCCTGCAGAAACTTTCATTGGCCCTTTAGAAAGTTTCACTTGCAAGTGTATTCTTCTTGGAGCAGTGCCCTTATTTATGATGTACTCTGAATTTGGTTGTTGCTGAGGTTCACGAGTCCTAATCTTGATACCAGTTCCAAGGTTTTCTGAATTTGATTGTAGGGGCTGGTAGGTTCTAGTCTTCATTCCGGTTCCACCACCAAGATCACTACTGTTATTCAAATAATTCTTCAGACTGGTTAATTGTTGCAAATTATTCATATTACCCATTGCAGAATCAGTGGATGAAGTTGCTAGGCCAACAGAATAATTTCCAAGTCCACCAATATTTCCAGTTCTAAACTCTTGGTCATAAAGTGGTGTTTGTGTATGGCTAAACTCAAAGGAAGTTAGCATTTGCCGTGATTCCTTGTTATCAATATGCCCACCAAACCACCTAGGAGATCCAACCTTTGTATCACACTGGTAAAGAAGTTGAAAATATCAAACATAAGTTAGAATCCAACAGTAAACTAAATCTAAGCGCCTTAAAAGTGAAAAATAAATACCAAATAAAAATGGCATAAACCCAAAGTAAAGCTCCAGAAAATGGCTAATTGTTACATACATAGGAACATAAAAGCCAGTTGCAAGTTATTTCTTTACCTGTAGTTGCAGCATTTCAGTGCCTGTATCACTGGATATGTCATTTTCTTTGAGATAGGTTTCTGGTGGTATTGTCTTTGAGATGAATGCATTACCAGACAAAGGTAACTTTGTTCCAGCAACCGAGTTCTTCTGACTGTTTGACTCTTCACAGTAGTCATCATGGTTATTTGAGAACTCATCCAACAATAACAGAGATACATCTTCTTCACTAGTCCTATCCTGGAAATGAAATCCATTTTGATCATGGCCAAAATCACTTGCATAAGGAGAACCCATGAAGAGTGGCAGATCTTCAAAAAATTGTGAGTCCATTGGCGGGAAGAGTTTGTAGTCAATTTCACCAAATTTGGGCTCATACAGATTCGAATTGCCTTCCAGCAGCGGATATTTCTATGTTAAAAAGCAAGACAACAGTGACTTGTCAAGAATCATGATATAATCAAGATAAAATAATAATTAATGCAACAATGCCAAAATGTAGATAAATTGTCCACTTCTCACCTCTATCACAGTTTCTTCTGCTGCATGATCTTCGGCATCAGAAGCCATATGACTTTTGCAGCTGTTGTCACATGTTCCTTGACCATTTTGCATTAAGCTACTGGGCTTTTGAACTTGGGTCTCATATGAAACGGTATCTTGGAGAAGATCCAATGAAGCGTCATCAGGAGTAGATTTTGTCATGGTAGCTGAATATTGTTTTTGTTCAAGTTCATCATACTTCACAATATCATTCTTCTCTTCTGGTTTATGAAACAATCGACATAGAACAAAAGCACCCTGCACCAAGAAGGGGTCCAAGTCATATAATCATTCCTGTTTTTCTTTTAACTTTTTCTTCTTGGCTGTTTAATCAAACCCATAAAACTAAGAATAGCAAAAGTTTATGTCAGTGATGGTAGTGATGGTACTTGCAGTAACTTCAACTAAAAATTAAAAAGAAAACCTGGCCAGGGGCGGTGCCATCAAGGTCCTTAGTAGTGGGTCGATATTCGTGCATGATCCAGTTGGTACGCTGGCCCTTGGGAGCACGGCCCTCGTAAAAAACCAAGGTTTTCTTCATGCCGATGAGAGAATTTTTTGACTTAATGTTTCGATCCTTACCAGTGGCTTTCCAGTACCCTTTATCCGTTGCCCTGTTGGAACGGTGGCCGTTGGTGTACTTCCTGTCACGCGGGCAGAAGAAGAACCACTCCGGATCGCCCGATTTTATCACCGACATTCCTGAATTTAAATCATGACCCCAAAAAATAAAAATAAAAAATCCATTAATTTTGGGATATTAAAAATTCTCAGCATACTGAGAGGAATTTCAAAAAAGGAACATAAGTAGGTATAAAGGAAATTTCCAGTACTAGAAAGCAGGAATCAGAATTAATGAACTATATATATTTATTTCATGTATTGGGGAATAAAGGACTTTAAGTTGACGCTTGGATAAGGCTAAAGTATCAAATATTCAGATCAATCCAACAATTTTTTTTTTCTTTTCTTGGTAAAACTAAATTAAACAGAAAAGGGAGAACATACCAGGCAAGTCCCAGGGCTCCCATTTGCAGACATCAATTTCAGGAATAACCTCGACCTCGGAATGATGACCGTTAATCTTCAATCTAAGGAAGTGATTGACGAGCTCTTCGTCTGTCGGCCTGAATCTAAATCCTAAAGGTAACAAGTCCATCTTTAAAACTGCCATCCTTTCCCTTTGCTCAACGCTAAACTCAATTCCTGTTGCCACTACTCCTTTCTTCTTCCGCTTACTTAACCAAGGCTTTTTGTTTTTTTAAATGGTTTTGCTCCTTTTTTTTGTCCCCTCTCGAACACAAGATTTGTTATTGTACGAATGGGTCGGGTTTCCGTTTCAGTCGCCTTTTCCGTCCGGTCGCTTTCCTCGTAGGGGGTAAGCCGTAAGCCCCACTAGAGTCAAAGACATCATGTGACTCTCACGTGAACTTGTCCGTGCTTGGGGATGCGTCGCTCTACCAGTCGTACGATTAGCTGATCATTTAAGCGTATACAGGCGAATAAAAAGAAACCCGCCCGCAGTGTATAATAACCAATGCCAAACAGCTAATTCAGCACTGCTCCTTTTTTTTTTTTTTTGGTGCATGCTGCTTCATTTGCATACACCGCGTTCAATGCGCTTACTTATACAGAGCGCTGTGCTTAGCTTACCCCGCAAGTCTCTTCTTCTTTCTTTGAAAAACGGTAATCTCAATAATGCCACGCTTTTTGCCTTTTTGCCCCTTTTCTTTTTTTTTTCTTAAAGAGAGAAAAAGAAAAAACTTTCCGCGTGCGGCTGGCTTTTCGCATGATTTTGTAGTTTTTGCCACAATTTTTTTGTTTGATTGATTCACGTGCTTGATATTATTTTGTTTGTAATATCACAAGTCATGAGTTTTTTATTCTTAATAACAAATTTTAGATGAACCCCAAATTTTATTGAAATTTTTAATTAAAAAATGAATTCAAGTCCCAATTTTATTATAAGAAAATAAATCATAACAGTCTTGTTTACTCTCAAGCCCTTTGTTACTGGTCTTATTAATGGTCAAAATATGAAATTAGTAGTTTCTTAATTCGTGTGAAAATTAAAATTTAATTTTTATTAATAATTGAAAAAAATTTAAACATTGTATTTTCGGATGTAAAATGTCAATATAAAATGAATCAATTCAAAATTACAAAATCACCATTAAACAGGAAAGTAAAAAAAGAGAAAAAGAACATGCAAGAATTTACGTGGTATTTACATATTTTATATAGTCATATTATCAATTCACAAAGTTAAAATTTTATCAAATTTTAAAAAAAATCATATCATCAGTTCAGATAGCTTAAAAATTATCACAACAGTGATTTTGTAATTTTATTACATTTTTATATCTGGAGAAGTAGAAAAAGTAATTTTGTTAGAGTTATTATACATGGATTAAATTCTTATTTTCGCATGGTATGGAAACTGATTCGTAATTTGACCCTTACTAGTTGCTTTCACCGAATAATAGACTCGAAGGGAGATGCTTATTGGTTTTCATCGTCCTCGACCCATCCTCCTATCTGCTTGTTTGAAGAATAAACCTGTACCACCCGAAAGTTAAATCTCAAGGCCATAAGAATTGGTCTGCAACCGCTAAGTGCTAAGCTATCAAGAGAGATAAAATTTAAACCTTTTAAACAAATAGGTTGGAAAATGATTTGCTATCTTCGATGGTCAAAAAGATTCGGCTAGCCTTGGAAGCCCACAACCTTTATTCCCACACGCACATGTCTCCATAACATATAAAGTTAGTCGTGTCTGTAATACTCATCCCTGCAATTATACCTACATTACTACATCCTATCTTCTACTATGGCAAAAGAGATAACCCAAACACCAATCTGGCAACTACAATCAATTGGCCATTCATAGCAGCAAGCTCTTTGTTCAATATTGGCTTCACTCAAGTCCAAAGAATGCAGCTCCCATCAAAAGCAGTGGAGATGGAATTTGACTCTTTTTTTTTTTTTTATTGGTTTCCCCTGGTTGTTAGGTTCCCATTTCAATACAAATTATGAAAGATCCACTATAGGGATCCAGTATAATATCACTTTGATTTGAAGACAACAATTAATAGTTATGCATTATGCAATACATGAAAAAAAAAATTACTCATTGAAAACCCTCAGCAACTATATTTGTAACGATGACATACATATCCAAACCAAAAGTTCCACACCAAATTTGATTGTATAAATTCTAAAACCATTCAAGGAGAATGTGTGAGAAGTAAAAAACAACGGTGCCCTCCCAGAATAATAAGCTGAACATTATATACGAAACAACAAGAACTAAACAATTGGCTTGTAGGCTAAAATTTTACCATATACAGATGTACCTAAACAGCAGGATGATGCCCAAGAGTTGCATTTGTTTCTACTCTTTGCACTGCTCTCCTGAAACTCCACTCATGGCAGAATTCCAATGCAAGTCGAAGGATGGTTCCAAGTCCTAGGACAACAATAATACCTGTACAATGTCTCTTGAAGTTACTACACCATGAAGCATAAAAGCTACTTGCTAAGAATTTGATTTCCTATAAACACATACGGGGGAAGATATGATTGAGGTGAACGTACCAATCATGATGTTAACAGGCAGTGCAGAGACACCAAGAGTAATGGATATTAACACATCCAACAATAGACCACCAATAAGGATTGAGAATGCCACCCATAGTGGACTAAAACAACCCTGTCATAAAAAGTGATTTAATACTAAGTTAACACAAACAGGTAGAATTTTCTCAAGAATATGTAAGATCCCAGTTGCTGGCTGCAGTTAACCACTTACCCTTTCACGGTCATGTGATGTAAAGCTTGGATCAACCATCCAAACCCAGTAATTTGTCTGCATCATGAAACACATTTGAGAATCAACACAGGCATGACTATGAGATGCTACAATTAAACCACAAAAAATAGATAGAAAGCTGCAGCACTAGTATTCTGTGTTTGTTTTGGACAGAAACTCAATATAATCAATCACTCAGGCTTTTAAAGTGATAGAACACAGAATCACAGGGGGTATAATGGGTCTTTAATCTATCTCTCTCTCTCACTCTCTCTCTCTCTACAATTAGTTTATGGCAAGCATAATAGTAGTCAAAGAAACAAAACTGCCAAGTTCTATCTTCAACTATGTTTTACTGTCCAGCTTGTAACTTTGGCTTGGGCAATGAAACACTCTTGTTGGCAAATCAAACCCCCCAAAGATGTGATCAAACTTCCTGCATCTTGTAGGCCATGACTAAATGAGACAAGAAAACTTATCCATGGGTTTTTATTGCTAGCCCTTTCACTTAAGCACAGAATACCTACAATGGGCTCGGACTCCGGCGCTGACACATTTACGGCTACTGCTCTGCATGACAGCAGTAAATTGAACCATGATATATGTTAGAAATATGCTAATTTAATGTAGGAAATCAAAATTTGAATAACTTACTGGCATATCTCGCATTTATTAGATCCTTTTGTACGAAACCAAGTGTCAATGCAAGACCGATGTGCTTTTGCAAGACCACCTTTACATTGGCACCCAAGATCTATAAGACCTTCTTCCTTCTCCTGCTGACAAACTCTGAAAAACAATATAGATGGTAATGAGTAATGGCATGTAATACTACAAATTGTTTTCAAGATTAATCTCCAAAAATCAAATTGAAGGTCAGAAAAGGTCACCACGCTAATGGCTGTATATTTAAGATCGTTGACTTGCCACAATATAAAAGATGATCTGACTGAGGCTTTTTTTTCAAGCCTAATCTGATCTAATATCACCAAAGCCTTTATGCACTACATGCTTTTGACACGTTATAATGAAACAGAAACTAGTAGTTAACACATACACACTCCATTAGTACATAATAGTTTAGAAAGTAATAAACAGGGGAATAAGACTACTCTCAAGACTAAATGAAATGCTTAGGACAATTAACATGATAAGATAAAAAAATTCATCTATGGAATCCCAATAAACATAGCTAACACATATTCAATACTATGTGATGATCCTCATTCTTATGAGGATTCATGCTATCCAAAAACCATCAACAATTGGAAACATAAAATAAAAAAGGCACATAAATGAGGATGTTGGATGTATGATTGGTAGAAGATGCGGAAGAAGTATAATGTACCTGCATTGCTCATGAGAACTAGTGGTCCTCGAAAAATACCCCTTTTTTGGAGGAGCCACACTTGGCAATTCCTCTTTAATGGAATCCACATCTTTTGATGATTTAACTACTGGCTGCTGAGTCACATGAGACTCGCCCCTCGTTACCACAATGGTTAACAAAGTCGGATTGCCCTCACAGGCTGAATCCTCAACCGAGCATGGCTGTCTTTCCTCCTGAGGCAACACTGGGATGCTTCCCTGCTTCTCAAGGTCGGGCTCAGGTAAATTACCGGAGCGGTCACCAGATCTGGTGCTAGTCCCACTTGAACTTTCATTGTGCATCTGATTTTTATTTGCAGTGTTACCACAACCCCTTTTGCTCAAAAAATATTTAATTCTCGTGAATTTCCCCAGCACCCTCACTGTTGGTACCAAAAAAAAAAATGAAACTCCTCAAAACTGACAGTCAATCTAAACCCTAGAGATTACTTAATTTTAGAAAGCAAAAAGCTTAAACCCATCAAATCGTGCTCGAACAAAATACAACAGACGCCTTCATAGTTTCATTACTTTGATTCTAAAATAAAAATCAAACAAAAATCTATAAAACCAAAAACAACCCATCAGAGATAGCCCACTAACAAGATGGGAAAAATTAATTACAGCCTTCGGACTAGCTCAGACCAACTGAAATTTTAGTGTGCAATGACCAAAAAATAGTATACAAGAAGGATAAAAAAGAGGCGTTAAAATTTCTATTCAGAAAAGTAAGGAACGCGTACCTGAAGAATGTTTGTTCCGTTGAATCACTGTATAGTTTGTTGACAGTTGAGAGTTGAAGAAGCAACAGCAACAATAAGAAGGAAGATGAACAAGAAATAAAAGAAGAAAGTGGGGAGAGAGAAAAAATTAAAATACTGACTAATAGCATTTGACAGTTTCCTTTCAGAATTTTATGTAATTATTAACGAATTTGGCTAACGAACGCAAGAAGAATCTTTTGTTTGATTACGCAAGGCAACGCCACGGAGTAAGGTCGAGCAGCGCTCTTGCGTGTCTCTTTAAAACATGAATGCATTTTCCTGTTTGAGTTTTTTTTTTTTTTTCTAATAAAATATCCATTGAACCGTTTCCTGACATGGGACCAATTTTTAGTTTTTGGTCTCTCTATAGTTATAGAAGGTTTTTAGGGTTATTTGGGGTCACTCACTAACCTTTCAGTGGCTAAAAAAATTACGAAAAGGTTGAGGGTCGAAACAAATCGTGGCTTGTTTGGCAGGAAATCCGAAAATGACAGTGAAAATGGGCATATGGTGTTTAAATGTAGATTACATGTTTGGTATGTTAAGGCACCAAGGCAGTCAGGGATTCTTTGTATTGCTTCTTTTAATCATCTACTTGAGAGTAGGACAGCCAATAATGATCTGTATTATGGTTTACGGTTATACTCAAAGATTCCCGGGATTCCAGTAGACCTTCGGATTTTTCAAACGAAACTGTCAGCAAGGTTGGTAATCCGACTCACTTCCGATAAGTTTCAATCCAATTCGATCTTATAAGATTATTTTTTTTAATCAAATTTTGAATCGAGTTTGATCGAATAATAACAAAAAAAAAATCAAGATTGGATTGGATTAAAAATTTTTCGAAAACTCAACTTGATTCAATTCGATATTATATAAAAATTATTTTTTTAATTATTTTTAATTTTTATTTATATATACTTATATAATTATATATTTAAATATTATATTTTAAAAATAATATTTTATTAATTTCGAGTCGAATATAATTTATATAATATTGAGTCGAATTGAATTCTGATATAAAAATATTTTTAAATTAAATTTAATTCAAATTTAATAAATATAAAATTAAATCAAATTCGATACAAATAAAAACTTTCAGTTTGATCCATTGCTAAGCTACTGTTGATTGTTCAATAATTCTGTAGTTGGGCTTGCTTCTGGTTTTAGACGAGGATTGATCTTATGAGACAAGCAACCCATTCATAAGTTGTTTTAGGCTTGTCGAACTGACCAAGTCCTTAAAATTCTAGGCCTAAGACGCTCTTCAAGTCCCAGCGGTGGTTCAACAAGAAGGACCGAGAGGCTCGATGACTGCATTTACCTCGTGTCATGCGAGACACAAGAATCAGTTCAGGTTTTATACAGCAGTCTGGCATTTGTTCAATGATTGGAACAAGGATGGCATCTTTCCACTGTAAACATCTAATTTGATCTAAGTTTAGATTAATTAGATTTGATCTAAATGAATAATATGAACTCATTTTTTTTATTTTTAATTTAATTTAATTTTTAATTTAATTATTTTTATTATTATGATGATTATGATTATTATTATTATTATTTATCTATTAATATTTTTATTTATTTATCTATTATTATTTTTTTAATTATCTATTAATATATTTTATTATTTATCTATTATTTTTATCTTTTTTTCTTGATCAATTTTCAGTTGGAATTAGGATTAGGATAAAAAAAATTTGGAATGAATTTGATCGTGAATTTGGGGACTGGCAAAGTTGGGATTGGATTCAAAGTTTGAATCTCAATCCCATATGAAATTGAAATTGATCAAAAATTCTTCTGATCAATTCTTATAAATAGATATTAAAACAGAACCCAATGACACAGAAAAAACACGGAGGAAGAAAGGAAAAACAAAAAAAGGCGTTAGAAAGGTCATGAGCAATCTTAGGAATTTTAGAAAATTTTTAGTGATTTATTTTCTGGGAATTTCTAAAAATTCCAGATTTCGATAGAATTTTTCGACGAACTTTGAATTTTTCAATGACTTTTCTGGCACCGATTGAATTTTTCAACCAGTTATCCAGTTTTCGACATACCATTTCCAGAAACTGACCAACTTTTTGATGAACTTTCGACGAACAACTCAGATTTTGATAATATTTTTCAAAATTCGACGAGATTCAATTGGTGTTCTTGGGATTCTTTTAAAAAGAAAGAGGAAAAAAAAAAGAGAGGAGAAAGAGAGGGAATGAAGTAATCTGTGAAAAAACAGAGATGAAAGTCTTTTATACCTAGCTAAAACGATGTTGTTTTGGCATTAGTAAAACCCAGAGGATCCACGCGTTTCTGTTCAGGCGATCCGACCCACAACGTAACCCACTTTCGATCGAGTTCGACCCGTTCCTCAGTCATCAAATCGAGCCGAGTCGAACCACTTGAGCCGCACCAAGCCGAGCCGTTTTTCTGTCTCCTAAGTCGAGTCGAGCCATTCCAATGTTTTTTTTATTATTATTATTATTTATTTATTAGATTAGAATTATTTAATATTCCTTATTTTATTTTTATTTTTATTTTTTTAATGATTTTTCAAAAATAAAATTCCAAAAACAAAAAAATATATATTTTTGAGGAAAAGTTGAAAGTATCAATTTTTCTTAAAGATAAAATTTTTAAAGATAAAAAAAATATTTTTAAAGGAAAGTTGATTGTATCAATTTCCTTTGAATACAAAAATTTTTTTAAATGAAAGTTGAAAGTATCAATTTCCCTGAAAAATAAAAAGTTAAAAAAATAGTTTTAGAAAAAAGTTGAAAGTATCAATTTTCCTTAAAAATAAAATTTTTAAATAAAATTTTTTTAAAAAAATATTTTAGAAAAAGTTGAAAGTATCAATTTGCCTTGAAAGTAAAATTTCCAAAAATATCTTTGAGAAAAATTTGAAAGTATCAATTTTTCTCAAAATTAAAATTTCAAAATTAAAAAAAAAATTTTGAGAAAAAGTTGGAAGTACCAATTTTCTTTAAAAATAAAATTATCAAGAAAAGCATTTTAAGGAAAAGTTGAAAATTTTAATTTTTCTTAAAATAAAAACTTCTAAATGTTTTAAGGAAAAGTTGAAAGTATCAATTTTTCTTGTACAAAAGCACTGGGTTTTTTAAAATGAAAAGAAAATTATTTATATCAAAAGCTAAATCATTATTCTTTTTATTTTATTTTATTTTATTTTATTTTTCCTTTTTTTTCTTGAAACTTTTTAATGTTAAATAATTCAACGATGGAGTCTATGCAAGTGAAACAGTAGTTTTCTTGTATACTCTTGAGATAAGGAGATTTTTTTAATTTTTTGCCAAAAGTATTAGAGTTAATTAAGAATAATTTCTAATAATTAATTACTTGATAAAATTTTAAGGCTTATTAGATAACATGAATTTGAGCTGGTACCATCTTTCAATGGACGTTGTGAGGATGTTATAACCTTCCTCACTCATAACCTAACTCTCGAATCCTGTTCTGGTTAGTAAACCCGAACCTATTCTTAGGGACCCTTAGTCAAGCTTAGGTGCTCATTAAGAGGATAGATTCCTTATGTGACCCAATCACACCTAAACAAAAAAGATTGGTGACGACTCTTAAAGTTAATGTCTAGCGATAGATCTCCATATCTAGACGTTATGACAGTTTGGCGACTCCATTGGAGACATCTGAGAGTCAGGCCAGGAAATAAATCCGTGTTATCCAAAAGCCTAATAAAATTAAACTTTTTGTATAGATTTTATATTCATATTTATTTACTTTGTTAATTTTGTTATTCATATGCATGTGCATAACATGAGCTCTATACTCAAGCTCCGTCCCTCTATGAGGGAGTAAAGTACCTATTGCTTTCGTGAGGTTTAATGCCTTCGCAGTGGCTAACGAAATACTCTTACTCAAATTGAACTTTTTTCGCTTATAACCTATAATGTGTGAGAATTAGGGTGCCTTACTAGTCTGTAATAGACAATGATGTAAGAAACAATTTGGAAACCTCTAGACTTTTAACCTTGAACCACATATAGTGAACTTTAAGAATGCCTAACCTATAGATAGAGCCATCTCCCTCCTTTTAGAATTGACCAAAAGCATAGGGTTTATTCTTCTTATTCTGTGTGATGTTTTAATTTACTTAGTTATTTATTTATTTCTCTTTATTTGGTATACTAACCTTTTTTCTCATTCTTTTGTATTGGTTCATGCTTATATCATAAAGTTGCATAAAGAATATTTGCTCGAAAGATGATCTTCAACAAAAAGTGTTTCATGAACTCCACAGAACGATTAGTTTGCTCTTCATCTGTATTAGCTCCTTGCGAGCCACCCAACAAAGTAAAAGTTCAATAAAAAAAGATTCAACTAAAGATGAGGGATTGTTTACCAATCGGCTATGATTCTACCCATTCTCAAGCAACATCTATCCTCTTCAAACAAAATAATCTAGAGGATTTGGTTGATATATAGAAAAAGATGAGCCCAGCTAAACAAGAGAAGTTTTATCAAAGACATGGGCATATAGCATACATTTTTGCAGTAAGTGTTAACAATCAACTAATTAGAGCTACAACGTAATTTTGGAATCTTGCATATAAGTGTTTCATCTTCAATGAAATTGATATGATGCCAACCATCGAGAAATATTCGACTTTGTTGGGTTTGCACCTCAAGGCTCCTGACAAGATATATGTCAAAAAATATAAATCAAGATTTCGTAAAGATTTAGCCCATCTCATGGGGATAAATAAGGAGATTATAGATTCACATACAAAGAAAAAACAAGAACAGGTTTGCCTACCTTAAAAGTTCTTTTATGATATTCTAGTACAACATGCCAATGAAAACAGGGGTTAGATGTATTTGCCTTAGCTATATATGGAATGGTGATATTTTCAAAGGTTTTGGTTATATTGAAATAGCAGTGATTGACTTCTTCGAGAGTGTGATCAATGGTTGTAACCCTTCAACGATAATATTAGCAAAAACTATCAGATCTTTGAATTACTGTCGTCGAAATAGATGATGTTTTACAGGCTGCATACGGTTATTATACTTATGGATGAAAAGTCATTTCGAGTGGAGAAAATGTGTTTTCTCAAAGCTTTATGTCCTTAATCGAGCTCCAATTAGGGAATTTTATGAAAATGGGTGGTCAGAACAAAAGTCTAAAAATGAATGGATAGTTTTCCTATAAAAATTGATAAGTACCAAAATAAGATGGTTGATCTCGTGGATGAATCGAGAACCTATGCTATATCAGTATGGAGATAACACTATCGTTCTACTTTTGGGTTT